CAGGCTGAAGCTGGCCTATCAGGACTGCCGTATCCGGGGTGGGTGTCTGACGGGCGGTGACCCCAGGCTGATGCTGGCCAATCAGGACTGCCGTATCCGGGGTGGGTGTCTGACGGGCGGTGACCCCAGGCTGATGCTGGCCAATCAGGACTGCCGTATCCGGGGTGGGTGTCTGACGGGCGGTGACCCCAGGCTGAAGGGAGAGGCTTCCGCACCAGCTGGTTTCATTAGCACCTGTGTCTCTCTCAACACCCAGCCCTTCCTGTAAGCCAGATAAACATAGCATGTGATTTGGAGGCCAGGAATGTCTCAATATTAACTGGCAGACAGTCAAATTAGTCACTTGAGGAACAATAAATCTGGGGTATTTTTATATAAAAAATAGTGCAGAAATATTGCTTTTAGAAAACAGTGAACATGTGAATTTAGAAACCATGAATTTATACATTTGATCAATCTAAGTTTAAAGAAATATTAAACAAAATGGTATAATAAAATTGCTTCTATAATAATTTGTATAAGCATCTATATGCATTGTTTCTATATTAGGACCTGAATGGGTCCATCTTTTAATGGTTAAAAGACTACAGAGAGACCACAGTATGTCCACCATTTTTATCACAATAGCTATATGACAAATAATCAGCTAAATGATCATTTTGGCTTTACTTGTTTTAGTCTGCAATGTTTCCATGTCGGTCTATTTTTACAATAAACGTCATTTTTGTAGTGCTTTTATTATTTGTTATATTTAAGTAACGATTTAAATTTCAGGCCTTAGAACAAATTCATATATCTTAATGTTCATTACATGTGAAACAAAATATATTTTTATTGTACTTGAAATTTTGAGACAGAAACGTCCTTAAAACGAACTAATCGGGTTTGTTTCGATATTTTTGGTTCATGACACTTTCTGTTATGTATAAATGTGCACGCTGAGCTGGTAACTACAGAAAATAACTGTGCAAATGGTGTCTAGGTCTAAAAATGTGACTTTCTCAGTTCAATTATTCCTGTGGGGACTTGCTGAGATTTGACAGATGTATATGGATGAACTGTACAAGCGCATGTGAGAATGCACACGAGTCCATGTGTGTGACTGGCAGAGACGCTTTCTGGGCAAGCATCCAGCGGCCTAACGTCTCCCAAGTCCACGTAAAACATGCCCGGAATTCAAGGGAAATTAAATTAAATTACCACACTTCATGTTTAAATTTTGTGAAACTTTTTTGTGCCAACATTTTCTCAGTATTCTAAAAGGTTTTTCTATGCCTTATGAGACCGTAGTATACGTTTTGACCTTATTTGTGTAACATTTTAAGATACCGATAAATTAGGTTTTACGAGCACACTGGCATCGTTAGGGTTCTCTCGCCATCGCGGGGCAGGGTGACTGACGCTCCTCACTCTGCATTAAGGGTCTTACTGTCGAGGCTCCTTGCTTCAGCTCTGGTGTGGGTGAGGCGTCTAGGTTGCCCCCATCTTGCAGTCCCCTCCCTCCGCCTTTCGTCTCGCTCTCCTCTCCTCCCTCCAGCTGCCTCTGCTGCTCCCTCGCCTCCCCGCTACCCCGGGCCGCGTGCTTCGCCCGCGGGTCCACAGCGCTGAGGTGTCCTCCATGCGCGTGACCTCGAGAGACAAACACATTTCCCCAAACCTGGAATTCACTACAGCCTACTTCATAGCCCACAATGGCTCACCACAATTTTCTTTGCCTAAGATCAATCCAACAGATAATTTAAGAAATATAAATTGCTCAAAGTAAGGAAAACTCAACTTCCTATGTGAAATTGGCTAAAAAAAAATCAGATAATATTCTGGATAATATTTCCGCTGTTGTCCAAGTCTATTATGGGTTTACTCTCAGTCATATATTCATAATAATAACAAAGTTTTAATGGCTCTGTGGCATTTGCACAGCGGTAATCAGAAACACAGGCTAACATACGATCCAATACATTATGTAACTGCCACAGAGGAAAACAGTGATGATGAAAAGCAATTGCTCTGATGGATGAAGTGTATTTGATTTGGCTGAAGCAGTGCTTGGTCCTCTGTGCTTCTCTTCACTTGAAGGCGCCTGCATTTACATTTCAGATCACATGTCCGGCGTCTGGCCTGGGGGCAGCCCTTATATCCCCGCACCCTTCCCCAAAACTCTGCTCTCTGCTGTCTATTGAATCCCTTTGAGATCTTCCTCCTGTGGCTTCCGCTTTGGCCATCCGGAGAACACCAGATCAATCAAGCTGGCTTTCAGTCAGGCTGTCGCTGGGCACAGGCGCTGTCCACAACTATGGGGATTAAGATGTACAGCCAGCATGCTGCTGACAGCTGAGAATCACTCAGTGTCATAGACTGTAGTGTTGCTCCGTCAGACGTCTTATTTTGATGGCATTCCCCAGACATTTATGGATTAAAAATCCATTTTTGTTTTCTCTAGTCACTCCCCCCAAGAATTCCTTCACCTCAGATCCTGCTTTGGATATTTGATCCTTTCCTGATTAGTTGCTGTGACTAATTCTCCTGACCTTTGATCTCTTTAGAGACAAAAATCTTAGAATTGCCACGGAGTCATATTGACACCCTGTAATCGGATCAAATGCTACACTTAAAAAAAAAGCTGCCTTTTTGTTTTGTTTAACCCCACAAATTCATCAATGCCTTGCTACTTCCTGGAGTGTAAAAGTAGGGGAAAGCATGGTATTTGTGGGGGTGTGGGGGTGGGGGTGTGGGGGGGGGGGTAGTAGAATAAATCTGATGTTAATAAAATATATTTCTGTGGTGGGCAGAAGAAACCTTATCCTACTTGTCTGTTTATACCACTTTCCAGAAATAAATAAAAACATTCCACTAACGCTCAAGGAGATAAACTGTAAAGCAGAAGAATCTGAGAAATTCTTTTGGCAAGAAAAAATATTTACTGACTGGTCTGTAACATGATGAACGTCCTTTTGTCGTTAGGATGTGGAAAAGATACTGTCAAAATTTGAATGCATTAGTATGTTTAGTTTTACATTTATCACACAGTTTCATTAAATATATAATTATTTTGACTTTATTCTTTTTGCCATTTTCTTGAATGTAAAACAAACTTCAACATTAACGTAACGTAGAAAATGGAAGTTTTTTTTATTGATTTACTCTGCTGCCACCTTGTGGTGATTCAAGAGAAGGACGCCACTTGAACACTCGCGTGTGGATTACGTAGGAATCTTTAAATGTTTTGAATCTGCCATTTGCATTTTGAAACTGCTGTAACATATAGAAAACAGGAGCAACAATAAGAGTGGAAAACTAGATAGTCATGGTGTTTTTCCAAGTTTCAGTGGACACCTTGTTGTATAAATAAGTTAGAAGACGTTAGACAAAATAACACATAAGCAAACTGCATACCCATATAATACCATTGCAGTAATGTGGCTAATTATTAGAATAACTAATTCTGTTATGTTTATTGTTCTGAGTCTATTGCATTATAGTTCCAACAGCCGTGCCTGTCACTCTAGTTAAGATTGGCAGCTGAGTGAATGCAATGTGTAATCGCTTGCCTTTTCAGGATTCGATGTTAAGTACAGGTTACCTAAGTTGTTCTTCCTGAGGAATAAAATTAAATTGCAGTGATGTCAAGTCAGTGCAGATCCTACCTGCTGCGTAAGCCTTTTATTGTATGTTTTTATAATTGTCTTTCAACAGGAATTTGTCCTAGTCATAATAACGCATACCTGCTGCAGCTGGATCATGGCTGGTGATGCACATGTCCACATGTCCGTAGACAATTTTATCGGCAGGCTGGTTTTCTAGCGTAGGGGAAGCGTCGGAGGTGCAGCAGGCCCCCACTGCTGCTGCTGCTTCTTCCCGTTCGGCCCCCAGGCTGTGGTGTGCCGTGTCTTGCAATGCAGAGCGGTCCTGAGAGATACTGCTGGAGATCGTCACCATGCTTTCTGTGCAAAGGCTATTACCTACAGAATGGGATAGCTTTGAGTCTGAAGGCTCAGGGTTTGTCTGACAGTGTGCATCTGAAGTCACGAGAGCAATTGCCATTGGCTGGGGCTTGTCTGCCCACGATGGCCCAGTAGTGGTGCCGGCACTGGTTACCGAATTACGATGGAGTTTGTTTTTATCTGTGCAGGTATGTGAGAGAGAAACTGGTGAAGCTTCTCTGTGCTGCCCAGAACCGACTCTGCTGGTGTCCTCTGACATGCGTGCTTGTGCCAAATGTCCTGGATGCGTTCGAATGAGAGTAGTTCCTTCATTTTCACAGGCACTATTTAAATTTCCGACATGAAATGGTAATCCTTCAGTGAGTTTATTGTTCTGGGCGACGACATGGACCAACAAACTCCTTGAGACAGTTTCTGTTGTCGCAGGGGGAGACGCTTGCATGTTAGCTGCTGGGGTAAGTTTCTGTTGGACGTGGGATGTTCCTGAGTCCATCAATTGTCGGTGGAATGTTGGCAGGGTTTTGGAAGAAGCCTGAGAAAACATCCCAGTCAAAGTACAGTGTGAAAAAGCATTTTGGCTGTCTTGGTCTTTTTTATCCCTCTGTGCTGCTGAAACACTTAGAGGAGCAAGGACCGATGACCCTGTTTCTGCAACATCATGCTGTGACACCTTTAGGTTCTCATTTGGGCTTAAATTAAGCTGTGGCTTTTCTCCATATTTGGTAACTTTTGGATCAGCGGAATTAGGACCTAACAAAAATATTTCTTTCTCCTTATATTGTAACGACCGGGCATTACAATGATAAGTCTCAGTCGTAACTCGAACCAGAGCTTTACCATCAGAGCTGCTGATGGGTGAGTCTGTGGGGATCTTCAGAGTTTGCTGTCCATCTCTAGGACCTCTTTTCTTGGCCAGATCGAGACCTTCTTGGCTCGTTAGCGGTTCGTCAGGAGACTGGCTCCATGTTGTTTGGTCTAATGGAAGAATTGTACCAGGTGAGGCGTGTGGTGGTGAAAGTGGATGTTGGAGTTCACAGGTAAACATTTTCTGCTCCTGGCACTGGGAGGGAGATGGTTTTTTGGTGTCGATCAACTGTAAAGGTGCGTTGGTAGCATGTAATGTGTTCTGCAGTGCTGAAGCCGTCTCTTTGAACTGGTACTGCTGCTGTACTGGAGATGGACCAGCACTGGATCCTCCAGATGATTCAGTAGCTTCATCGCTTGTAAAAAGCTTTTGTGGGGCTTTTACATGTGCCTGCTGCAGAGCTGTCACACTGAATGATTTGTGACTACGGGGCGAATACGGTCCGACCTTCCAGTCTGCTGGAACAGATACTGGAGCTGGTAGAGATGGAGCATCCTGCCGATAGAGAGGCAGCTGTTCAGCTGTTTCTGCGGTTTCAATCACACCCTCTGACGGCTTGTCTGCAGCACATGTCTCCAAGGAAACACTGGATATCTGCCCTACACCTTCTTGAAATGGACAAATGTGAGGATTCAGTGACTGAGCGTCTCTGCAGCCAACGCATTCTCCGTGTCTCTGCATTGAGGCCTCTTGGTTTGCAGTGCTGGTTTCATCCAGGTTCAAGCTGGAATTGTCTCTGTGAGCGAAGTGATTTGTGCAAGACCGTATAGGTATGACACTGAGGCTTGAATGCACAGAGCTTCTCTGTGAAGGCTCATCAGTATATCTGTGTTGCTTTGTATGAAACACGCTCCCCCAGTCAGAAGAGGTGCAGTGCGATGGTATACTGGGTGCTTCACCACTTGGTGCTATTTCTTTAGTAGTTTTCTCTGCAGTAGAGACAGGAGGTTGTACTTCAGCAGCCATTCTTTCCTGTGGCTTTTGTGTTGCACAAAGCATTTGAATGCCTGTAGACGTACTAGCAGACTTCATATCTTGCAAAATATCCTTTCTATACACAGCTTCCTGTTTAGACTCTCGCTGAGTTTCCGTGACTGACAATTGTTCTCCAGAAACAATTTCGAGAAATATATGTATGTCCCCGGCCTGTTCTCTGTCGTGAACTTTGCCTTCCGCAGCATCAGGTTTCGCACTATTTAATAAAGTCAGTTTTCCCTTATATTGCGTGATCTGAGAGGAGGGACTTAAGTAACTGGCGTTGGAATGAGCAGAGATAGAAGTGACTGCAGTAACATGATCGTTTCCTATGACTGAGGATGTTGAACTTGCTGGAGTGGGAGGTGACTGCCTGTTTACAGCAGTCCCTGAGGGCTTGTCTATATGCGTCTCTATTGAAGCTAAAATTGGTGCAAACGTTTGTCCCTGTCCTGTCATTGGGGTGTTTGAGGAAAAAAGTTTCTCTATTACCTGTTGGTTCTGTGTCAAAGGTAAACTTTGCTCCATACCTGTGAGACAAGAGGCTGATGTCATTAAGTCACTTGACTGCGGCAGTTTTAGCTGGTATTTTGGTAGGAAGCTGGATTTTGTCAGGGTAGATAATCTACAAACATTCTCTTGGGATGGTGAAGACTTGTATCCTTGGAGCTGAATATTTTTCTGATTCAGCTGGTGGTTAATAGGGGAGGTTTTGAAATCCATAATTTTACCCTTTAACGTCACAGTATTTTTCTGTTCTGTGATGTTGGTATACTTCTCAGTAGTGTGGTCACTGATAAATGGGAGCCATTGATTTTGCCTGAGGACACGATCATCTTCCACTTTACTTTCGACACAGGGTGAAGTGGTAACTACATCTGTTTTCTCAGCCGGCACACATATGTTCTCATCTGTCCTCTGTTTCTTCCTTTCTGAGGGAAGATGACTTTCACCTTGGAAGGATGAAGAGGGAGTTTCTGAATTCTCTTCTTCCAAATCAAGCTCTTTCACCCCTCTGTCATTTTTGTTGCTTAAGGTCTGAATATTGCTCTGCTTGGTTATACTCTGCTGTGTTGAGACCGTGGGATTCCTCAGAATTCGCTTTTGGAGAAATGCGTTTGATGCATCAGGATTGCTAGGTCCTTGGTCTAAGGTAACACAGCCACTAGGGGGCAGATGAGGAGGAACTTGAGATGGGTTGCATGCAGAATCTATGTTGCCGGCATCCGATTTGAGATCCGGGGCAGATATCCTTGAGCTTTGAGTTTCTCTAAAAGAGCCTGTGTGCTTACTCTGGATCTCCTGTCCTTTGTCCTGTTCCATGCTATTCCCAGACTTCTTTGCTCTAAAGGCATTTCTATCTGAGCCTTTTTCCATATTGCAAAGCTTCCTGAAGGTGCCATCTCCATACATGTACCATTTGTTGTAGGAAAACTTTGGCAGCTTTTTTCGCCTGTATTTTCCACCACTTGCCTCACCTGTTGGCTCAACAGAACTCCCTTCTCCACTAGGACCACTGGAGAAGTGCTCCTCAGTAGATGGCAAATTAGGGAAGTCAGCTGCTGGTAAGCCATCCACAGCCTTCTGCCTGACCAAAGATCTGTGGTGTGGGGTTGGCTGGTCCATGGACCTCATAAGCAAGTCCCCTGGATACACATGGCCCATTCTGTCTCGCCCACTCTGCTGAGTACTCTCTGCTTGGTAAGAACCATGTGTACTGGCTCTCTCAAAGCCTGAGCTACCTACGTTAAAGGGAAGAGAGCTGCTCCTCACCAGAGGTGCATGCTCCAAGCTCAGGGATCGTTGGGTAGGGACTGAGCTGTACAAAGCCTGCTTCACTTGCTTCTCTGAGTTCTGCCAGTCTGTGTTTGGGATACTGTGCCTACTGCTCTTCATTTCAAAATGGAATGAGTCTTTGTATGTGTACGGCATGGGAAGGTCAATGCTGCCTTGTTTTGATGGCATCGTCTTCCGAGGTCTTACATTCTCTAATTGCTTATTATCTACAAGCGCATCATTTTCTGATATAAGCTTGCAGATACGCTCCTCTAGTTTCCTTTTCTCCAGTAGGGAAACCCTGTTCTTGGCGCCCTTGCCGGTGGTGGCCCCAGAGTTTGTGTTGCTCTGTGGAACTCTGGGTTCTTCTTGCTCTTCGGTGCCGGATTCAGCTAAGGACTCCATGCTGTGGTCGTGCAGAGTGCCGCTGGGACTGGGGCTCCAGTGCTGCTCACTGCTCTCGGAGAAGCCAGAGTCGGTGCTGTCATGGTTTTGAGACTTTCCTCCAGACGAACGAGAGTCCCACTGCTTGGAGAAAAACGTAGCCTCCTGTCTTTGAAGAGAAAGATGACGGGCTGGTACAGGAGGCGCTGGGTGTTCGCCTTGTTCATGTTTTTGCTGTGTCGCATTAGGTACACAGTGCCCGGTACTTTGGACCGCAGAATTATGTGGTTCCTGGTTTCCATTCGCAGGGGCGAGAATGAGCCCCACAGCAGCAGCATTCTGGAGACCCCATCCAGTGTCTTGTCCAGTCTGCCCAGAAGAGACCTGGACCGTGCTGATTGTGGAGCTGGAGTTAGTCCCAGGGACACTGACATCCTTCTCAAGGCTACTGGAGCCCTCAAACTGCCCTTGGGGCGAGGACATGCCCCAGCAGACATCTCTGGAGCTCTGCACGCTCTCTTGGCTGGTGAGGCTGTCCCTCTCTGAGGAGTCGGAGGAGAGTCGAGCGTGCGCCTGCGTGCGCTTGTGCTTGTAGAGGTTGCTCTGCGTCTTGAAGGCCACGCCGCAGGTAGTGCAGGGGTACGGCCGCTCGCCGGTGTGGCAGCGCAGGTGCTTCTCCAGGACGCTGGGCTTCAGGCAGTCGCGCCCGCAGTAGGAGCACATGTGCTTCCCTGCCGACTTGGGCCTGACTGCTAGAGCAGGGACCCCCGGCTTCTGACCAGACTGTTGAAGGTGCACCCCGCCAGCGACGTGGAGCGTCAGAAGGGAGAGGGCTTGTTTGGAGCTCGGCTGGGGGACCGACAGAGGAAAAGCCAGCGTGTCCTGAGCGCCGGGGGGCTTCGGCTGTGCGTACAGCGGCAGCCCCCCCAGCGTGTGGATATACACCGTCGGGAGGGAAGTCTGAACGCCGTGCGCCTCGTCCTCCCTCTGTGCTGACACCACGCTGTAGGGAGCTGTAGCTTCAACAAAGCCTTGCTTGCTCGTCTCCATGGCAACAACACTCCTTTCACATTATTGGCTAGAGATGCTAATTACCTGCAAAGAAAAAAAGCAGTTTTCATTAGGACTTCGCTAAGCCTGTACACTGTTATCATTTCACTTTCTAAAATGGAATGTTTCAAATCAGCTCAGTTATCTGACACACTGTATGTCAGTATTATGGACAATGTTGTACTTCTGACTAACTGGGCAACAGAGTCTTGACTGCAGAATAGCTGTGGAATGTTCGTTCTGTCAAAAGTTACATTCTGAGCCTTCTTTAATGCCTTCATCGCCCCTTAAAAGACATTGTTTACATGTTCCTGTGCCTCTTATCTGAGGATAAATTCGGTGACAGCTGATGCAAACAGAACCAATCAAGCGACGTGACAGAGAGGAATGTGTCTGAAGAAACAGGTGCTGAAACATGGTAGAAATCATGTTGCTCTTCCTCGCCCCCGACTGCACTTAGACGAACCATTCGGCGCAGAGATCATCCAATGGAGATGCTATCGCTCACAGTGCTGCGTGTGGTTAGTATGACTCACCAGAGAAAGGAAGAGAAGCCCAAGAACCTTCAGAGATCAGAAACTGTAATTTGTTTTGTCTACTGGAATGTGCGTGCAGGGTTGCTGCACTACCTACTCACTGAGAGAGCTGGTGCTGGTGCAGGTGAATGATCACCTTTTGTCACTGTGTGCTGAAACTGTTCCATGAATGGTCCCCAGTAACCTAAAAACCCAGGCAAATAAATTAATCAACACATATCAGTAAGCATGACAATTCCAGATAACACATAGCTCATAAAAGCTCATAAGCAGAATTAACATCCCAGTGATAAAATGTACTTGATGGTTACACGGGTTGCAAAAAAAAATAACAAAAATTCTGCACTAGAAAAGACTTCATCAAGTAAATGGCATCTAAGTGGCTTTCATTTCTTTAGTTCTTGTCTGATGCCTTTGGGTTCTCCATTCACTGTTGTCAGCTACTTGTTGATTAACAGTTATGTAAGGCAGCTAAAAATAAGAGTGGCGTGCAGATATTGAATGCTGATAGATTCCCCCCTCCTCCCAAATCACTTCACGTAACTTGTCCCTGGTTATGTGCTGAAAAGATCATTTGTCATAAAGTCCCAACAGAAGTGGTGAGTAATTACATTATTCCTCATTTGCATGCGGGCCAGTCATGATGTTCCTACAGATACTGTCTTATACAAGTGATGCTGTTCACTCACATATGTAAATCCCTGCTGTTCAGATGAAAGAAAAGAAGGAAGTACTCGCAGATTCCATTTCTTAAAGCTCTGTTTTTCACACCTTTCTTCCACTTAAATTCCCATTCTTGGAGAACAGTTGTGATTCTTTATTCTAAATAAAGGCACGTTTCTTTTTCGAAGTAATATCTACAAATTTAACAAACTACTTCTTAATGGACTCTTTCCAGTAATAAAATAAATTACATTTTCTCTAGTTATAGGTCCAATGATAAAACTAAATTACAAGAAATGATTCTGGAGTCATAGGTTGGAATTTTCGGCATAAATCAATCTTTTGTCTCATCTGACACTAACAGCAGATTTCCTGAAAAAGACGTTTATTTCCTATGTGGAACTGAAAACATACTGTGAAATGAACGAAAATGCAACACAAACCGTCCGTACTTGAAGTTGTTTCTCTACAGCTAAAACTTTTAAAACTTAAAAAACGTCAAAGGTTTGCAGATCAGCTACCATCTGAGCAGAGTCATCGTCACCCTTAAGTTTCACTTTTGGGAGGGGCATGTGAGTGGGCAGCTCTGGGCGTCACCCACTTCTGGGCTGCACGCTTTGTAGAGCCCCCCCCCCCACCGTGTTACGCTCACAGTCCATCGGTTTGAACAACGGACTATGCCGGACACAAGTACTTATGAATGAGCACTGTGAGGTGCCGTAGGTGGAGCGGGTCACTCACCGGTGCTGCTGGGTCATGCTGGCTAGTTGAGCCACTCGGTCCTCCTCTGGGTCACATGGCCTTCCGGTGACCGGCCCGGGACCGCTGAGAGCGTGACAGAACCCAGTGACACATTGTGGCAGAGTGTCACAACGTGAACCCCGTCCACTGCTGCTCTCGCCAATGTCACGACTTTGCCTCTCCTTCCCTTTTAGGTTTTGTTGATTTCGTCTTTTCAGGGGAACTGGCAACAGCGAAGAGAAAAACCCTGTCACATCCTCTATGCAAATGATCGAAGAAGAAGATGAAATGGGGAGAGAGAGAGAGAGAGAGAGAGACAGTGAGTGAGTGAGAGAGGGCTGTAGAGAGAGAGAGCGAGAGAGAGAGAGAGAGAGAGAGAGAGAGATGCAGCAGTAACACTTTTTAACAAAGGAGGTCGGTTCCGAAGTTGTTACTGGGGAGTCTGGCAGCAGGAGTGAAGCTGTAAAGAGGAGAGTGAAAGAGTGATGAGCTGGGATGGATAGATGGGGGGACAATGACAGTGAACAGAACTGAAAGTGACAAGAGGATCGGCAGCAGAAAGGGGAAGTGACAGGCGAGGGGGCTTACCTTCCAGCGCGCGGCACATGCAGGCGGCCAGCCGTCGCTCGTCTCGTGAATCAGTCCTCACTTCTCACTCTGGCATGCAAACTGTCTCTCTCATTCTCCCGCTCACTCACTCGCACACAGACACACGCACGCACACACACACACACACACACACACGCACACACACGGGCGCCAGAGCACGCACTCGCAGACACACACCCACACATGAACTCGAGAGGGGTGCAAGCCAGTGCGTGGGTGTAGCGTGCTTCTGGGGGAGGTCTACCTGCCTCTTCATTGCCAAAATGTCAGACCTGTTTGGCGTGGGGAGTAAGCGGGCGAGGTAAAGTAAGGAGGGGGGTGGGGGGGCAAATTTTGTGACCCTGCAAGCCTCTACAGAGAATTCTGTTAGCATCTTGCTGCTGCAAGCGGCCTGAAAGGGCTGCAGATCAGATCGGCGCTGGGGGGGGCGGCGTGGACGATTTCAACTGGCGTACCCCCAGCCCCCCACCAGTGACGGCCTCCCGAAACGTCCATCTGCACTCAGACTGTGGAGGTGTGTGCGTAGGCTGAGGGAGCTGGGAGGTGGCAGGACTGGGGTGGGTGTAGGAACAGCCTCTGTGGCGTAAACTCTGTGCATAAGGGTGGGGGGCAAATCAAGTCACAAAGCGCAAAGTCACAAAGCGCAAAGTCACAAAGCTTTCTCCTCCTTTAATTCGACGGCAGCCTCTGAGCTTTGCAGCCACGTGCTGTTTCAGCGTGTGGGTGTGTCTGGGGCTGTAACATCTCGTTTGAGAGAGACAGACACAAAAAGGATGACAGAAATGCAGAATTCTGCAGAAAAATAGATGCGCAGTGTTTTCATGAAGAAATTGAATCTCCGGTTTTACAATTTGTATAGAGAATTCGGTATACATAATTGTTTTGCTGATTTGTTTCAATTTGTTCCATTTATCACTCATTTGTGTTCTGTATAAAAATAAAATCCATGTGTATTTTCACTGACAACACAGAACCAGAACATTTTTCTTTTAGTTTTAACTCCATGGTTGAGTGTACCGCATCTGCCTTTTTTCAACCTTAAAAAACAGCAATATTTGGGTATTTATCCGAATTATCTTTTTTCTCTCATTCACTCCTCGCTCCAGTCTGTCCTTAAAACAGGAAATCCCAAACAAAGCACTTCTTTTGTTCTCACGTCCCCAAATCTCGCATTTGTCTTTGCTGAGCTGGCCAGTCTTTCCCACAGGTACCTGCTAAAAAGGTGACAAACAGGCATTTCTTAAAAGTAGACCTTCTGAATGGGGGACAGTGGCTCGATGGCAGCACAGTGGCCTCACACCTGCGAGGTCCTGGGCTTGATTTGGCTCCGTGTTCCATGTTCCCTGAGTGCTTGCACAGCTACTCTGGGCTCCTCCTGCAGTCTAGAATCATGTGGTCTAGGTAAACTGGTGTGCCTAAGTTGTTCACTAAGTGTGAGGGTGTGCTCTGTGGTGTGTAAAATCAGTGGACAGCATCCATCCAATTCATGAAACCCCTTCTCCTTTTCAGGGTTCTGGGGGTATGAGTAGGAGTAGCCACACCTACACACCACTCGCTCATACATGCACACCTATGGACAACTTGATAACTCCAATTAACCTCAGCATGATTTTGGACTGTGGGGGGAAACTAGAGAACCTGCTGAAACCCCATGATGACACGGGGAGAACATGAGAACCCACACACATGGAACCTGGGCAGAGAGTCCCAGAGGTGTGAGACCACTGCAGCACCACGCCACCCCTGGGGTGGACAGCAGCAATCACTTAAAGCCACCTTCGTATTTTTGGTACAGTTTCTTCCTTCCATTGTCAGCTGATGTGGCCCCAGTGAAGATGTTTACTTAAACTAATACACACAATACATCTGAGTTTCTTCATTTAAAAGTGAAATAAGCTATTTTGCTCCCTGCTGAAGCTCTCGGCAATTACCTGAACTCCTAATTAATCCTTAGCACTGACACGCTAATGAAAGCCTGTCTGCTGTTTCTCTGCCCCCGCTTGTGAAGTAGAGAATTTCTGTTTGCCACGCCCAGCCATCCCATCTCTGAACTCACAGCAGCCTCAAACCACATCTTCATAAGAAAGGAAGCACAGTAATATAAGACTAAGACTAATCTACCAAGAAGAATGACATTTCCATTTTGTTCCACTTGAAACGTATTAAAATACAGCTGAAATGCCCGTTGCAGACACTGCGTCCTGAACAGCCCAGCTGGTGAGAGCTGTGCTTTTAACACCGATTTGCTCTTAAACAAATGTAATGCCTGTTTCTCACTGCCTCCTGTTGAACACGGAAGCTATTTAGGTTACTGGCTCCCAACCTGCCTAAAAGCTTTCATGGTTGGAACCTCTTATCTCTTGGTATGAACAAATGCACTAAAAGGGACCATGGAAGCACACAGTGGAACAGGGGGCTGCTGATCGTGGTGTGCAAAAACCAGCTCACAAGCACGTGCTTTGATTGATTGATTAATAAACTCAATGTATACCACAAGAGGAAATTTGGGTGTTACAGCAGTCAATACAGAAAAGAAACAAGGTACAGCAATTTACAATAGCTTACAGTTCTTAACACACTAATAATAAATTACCATTAGAATAAAAAGTAACTAAAAGCAGTAGATCATAGTGCATCAGTAAATAAGCTAGAATTTACAGACCGTGCAAAAATGCAAAGCTGTACAAGACAATACATTGAAGTATTCATTGAATTTTGTTATTGCAAATACATTTGTTGTCTTGAAAGCAAAAAAACTCATGAGTTGAAACTATAAGGCAGTTTCATGTGTGTGTTTGAAAAATGTAAGTATATTAGATGTGGTCTTTCACTTAGTTTGATTTGAAACTGTCCAGTTGCTCTACACTTGATGATATACACTCAGCAACTAAAGCCACACAGCGAGTTCCTTATGTACACCCACCTGCTAATGCAAACAGCCTGTCCCTACAAACAGGCAATCATGTGGCAGCAGTTAAAATACACATGGCATGCAGGCAGGGTCAAGAGGCTCACTGGCTGCTTGACTAAGCATTAGAGCGACGTAGATGAACGTAAGTGATTTTTAATGTGGTGGTTCCAGCATCTGAGAAGCTGCCACCCTCCTAGAATTTTCACACACTACAGTTTCTAGACTTTACAGTCAAGAGTGTGATAAACAATAAGCATCCAATCAATCCAGTCATTTCTGTGGCCAAGAATCCCTTGTAATGAGAGGGGTCAGAGAAAAATGATCAGGCTTGTTAAAACTAACTGGAAGCTCACAAGTGTGAAAATAAGTCAAGTGGGGCTTTATTGTCACATGAACCATATTTGGTGCACTGTATACTGTGACGCAAAATAACGTTGCACGGAATGTGGTGCTACATATATACATAATGTGCAGAGATATGGTGCTTTTCCAGGGCTGATGTCAGCGTGGGCCGATGTCAGCGTGGGTACAGGTCGGGTATGGCTTGGATAATTTGCAATGGAAAACCATCTCTTCGCAGTATAGCTCACTTTTTGGTGAAAAAGCAGCGGACGTGGCAGTGGAAAAGCGCCAATAGACAGGACGTAATGTCCTGCCCGTCATGTCCGCCTGACCCTCCTGCCTCCTCCATGACGAGACCCTGATGAGCCACACCTGTTGCTTGTTGCCTTTGTATTTAAGTACCTGTTTGTTTCATTGGCCAAGTATGGTCATTGAAGTCAGTCCCCTTGTTGTCTGTGCCTTTGCCAATACTCGTCTTCCAGTTTGGACCCCTTGCGGTCCTATTTTTGACATTACATTTAGATTACATTTAACATTACATTAATTACATGTACATCAAGATTACATTTAATACATTTTGCACCTATTTTTGAGATACGGAGTAGCAGCTACATCTGCACATGCCGCCATCTTGGTTCACAATAACAACCCTGTACAAAAGTTGTTTGCAGAATGGCTTCTATGAACCAAGGGAGTAGATTTGAGTATGGACGGTATGGGCATGTCCCTACCAATATTGTGGGAGTACTGTGTATGTATGGTAGGGGGTTCGAAACTGATTTGGTCCCTACCAGTGTTGAAACCAAACCTACGCCTTAGCCCTGCACAAACAGCTGGTCTAACTCATGGCAGTTCTGGGGGAAAAATGGGTTCTACCTGGTATATCTTAATCTATACTGGATGTATGACGCAATCTTTAACAAGATGATTCCAGTACCATTATACAGATTATTGTGATGAAACATGTACATAGATACTCTAACTCTCTAGATGTATATCTCTGTGTTGGAATATCCTCCCACATTTCATTCAGTCTCTGCTGTTTATCACTGAAGATAAACGAAGAACAGAATTTGTATGTTTCGGAATAACAGATTATATTATTTCAAGTCAGTTTCAACAAGCTGACAAAAATGCAAGCTATAGCCCTTTGCTGAACCAAACTCAATAATGAATAGATTTGCATGATTCTGCTGAGATTACAATATGCCAATAAAACTGGTCAGTTTTCAAGTTGGAGATTTCAACACTGTGAAAATCTGCAACATCTGCTATTTCTACCAGTGTCCATGATATTTCTGGCCAAAACATATCAAGTATAAAAATATAATCAACAAAAAATAAATATGTGGAAATGTTTGAATTTCAGGAAAATACAATATATTACAATGTGATTTACTGTAATTTATCATTTTGAATGTTTAGACTATATGTTATCTAGTACAATGTAAAAACGAAATCTTCATGAAGAATTCATGTGTTGCCTTCATGTCAAGGTGCAAATTATTCCACCTCCCTACAAAATAATGCCAAACATTAGTCAACAGGCCAGTCAACAATTTGTTATCATATAATTTTCACTGGGACTCTGTTCAGACTCTTTGGTTTCCAAGGCAACTGGAGGCTA